ACTCTTTCAATGGTAAGCTCCTTGGGGAGTCGTTCTCCTATCAGATCATGTCTTTGAGCTTTGACAAAGTTGCCTTTTCAAGGCTTCTTTGTTTTGTTTTAGCTCTTTTTCTTTGTTTTGAGTCAGAGGAGTTTAGGAATCTCTTTTTTCCCCCCTTGTATTAGTAGAAGAAAATGCTCTCTGCCATTACTTGGGCTCTTTTGAGAAAAAAAGTTACATAGAATGAGATTTTGTTTGCTGTGGTCCAGGAATAGCTGTAGCTAGTTAAATGAGCGTGGATCCTGTCAGCAGTATGACACCGTTAGATCTATGCAAGTCAACCTTGTAGGGCCTATGTTCACAATTTTGGCTAAAGCCGCTGTGTAAAATCCGACCTGTGTGCACGTGTGTGCTGCCAGGCTCACAACTGCAGCTGGGACCCTGGCAAGAACAAACTCAATTCTCTGCAGCCCGGCGCCGCGCGCTCTGGCCGAGGCTGCCGCTTACGCTTTGACCGGCTGAGGCTCTTCTAGCTAATGGCAAGAATAATTTAATCCTCCCAAAGTATGGATTCTACTTTACCTGAAGATATGATACATTTTCCTGCTGTGCTATCATGTCACTGCACATTTCAACAAGAATGTCTTTATTGCTGCTTTAATTTAACTGCAAATCCTGTCCAGTTGAGGCCTATGCATTCTGCTCTTCTGAAATCTCTGCACGCAGCTCTTTATTTCTGTTCAATTCGGTCCAGTTCAATTATTGAACAAGGTTATTATCCTGCTAAAATACTCCACTTTGGATTGCTGACATATAGATCCCTCTGGCTACAGCAATCTGTGTCTAGGTATAAATTTATCTAAAGGAAACAGCCTTTTTCCAGGCTAATCTTTTTCTTAGGAGAATCTTACCTAACACAGATTTCCACTAATGAGGTTAGAATGCAGAGGTGTGGCACGACCCTGATCTTTGGATTGCGTTTCGGCCGTGTCAGCAGCATGGAGCAGGGACACAACTCTTGCCATTCTGGCCCTGAGGCTTTCTGCAGGCTGGTGAGCAGCAGCATCCTGTGTGGGTGATAAAGCCTGAGCTGCTCCCTTCCTGTTACAAAAGTGACAGTTGTCTGTTAGAGTGAAAGTCTGAGCTGGTTCTTGTCACTGTCAAGATAGCCTGGGTGCTCTTTATCGGGAGAACCTGCCGGGGCTCAGGCAGTGCTGGTGGTGTGCTCAGTGCCCCCGGGGAGGCCGTGCGGCTCCGCAGCGTGCCCGGGGCACGTGGCCCCTCTTGTGCGAGTCTGTGACACGGGCTGGTAGTGAGCTTTGGGTCATGTGCTCTTCTGCAGCCAGCCTCTGATAAATCCTCTTACACAGTCTTTATTCTCAGAGGGCTCTTGGGCTGAAGAGGTTTTCCAAGCTGAGAATATGGCCACTTCTTGTCAGCTTGTTTATATTCTGAGTAGTTAGGCAAAGTACTTCTGTTCCTGGTTTGCATACTTGACCTGGAGAACATACTATAACATTTTAATTTTTCTCAGTTGTACTTACTGAAGAAGAAACTCAGCTGAATGACCAGAACCTTAAGAACAATTTCTATATTGCCATTGGATTTGTGTGTTAAGTATCATAATCTTGAGATTACTGTTGGTGTGTCTTAAGCATGGAGACCCTTTAAGTAGATTATTCTTTTTTAACTCTTGTTTTGCCTCTTGTAGGAGCAGACTGTTGTAATTGAAAAAAAATGCTGAAAGGTTGTCTGTGTTTTGCTAATGTCGTGTGATGCGTTTAGTGTCACACCTACATGGAAATATATTTGCATGATAGCAGCCCTGTTACTTTTTTTTTAGGGATGTGTGGTTTGCACTGAGGTAAAAGTTGTTTCTGCAGAGGTGCAGGTTCATACGATGCCTCTGTACAGCCCTGTCTCGAGCAGGGAGACACTTGTGCTTTGCTGTGTATTTGCAGAGGTAGAAAACCTTTAAATGGTACTGTGGGTTTTTTGTTGATACCCCCACTCCTCTCCCACTTTTTCTTCCTTTATTTGTACTTCCTGACTTGCTTTAGAAAGGAAAATCCTTTTATTGACACACATTTTTTGCATTCCCAGGATAAAGCCCTGGATTTTGTGCTGCTAAGTCCTGGTTTGGCTTAACTGTAAGGGAGAGCAAACAGCAACCTGCTCCAGCAGCAGGCAGGCAGCACACAGTGCTCTGCTGCTCTCCATCGTGTGCCAGTGTCCAGTCGTTCACCCTCTGGAGGGGAAGCTGCATCCTCACAGAACAGTTCTGTCCAAATCTGCTAAATCTATCCAATAACTGAAAGAGAGACTGTGAGGCACTTTGTTTCTTCACAGGAATACAAGTGGTCTTCTGCTTGCAGATTTTTGCTGGTGTTTGCATAAGTGTGTTGAGGAATTAAAGAACACTGGTTTTAATGTGAAACATTTTTTTTCCCCAGAAGCGGTTCACTCTGAAGGCATCAAACTGAATGGAAAAAAGCTTGTGGCCACTCAGAACCAGAGCCACGACAGCCCCGACAAAAGTGCTCCTAGGTATGGTCTGTCTTCTGCTTCTTGTGTAGGTTTGGTGGAGCAGCTGAAGGGAGAGTTGTGAATGTCAGCTCTTTGTGGAAGGTCTAGTGAGGAGTACAAGTGGTGGTGACATTTGTTTGCTGGTTTAGCTATGCCTCCCTCGACAGAAGATCTCCATACAGTGACAGTGAATATATATAACACCAAAGTTCTGGGCATTTCTGGGTGATTGTGTTGGATGGAAAGAACTGTGGTGGGCAAATTGTAGATGTCTTGATGTCTAGAGGAGAAAAACAAAGTGCAGAGAGCTTTCTGTCTGGGCTCCTGGTTTTCAGCTGGAAACCGAGCAGGCGAGTTGGTCTCTCTGGCTGCCTGGGTGTGAGATCTGTGCACACACCAGGGCTCGAGCAACCTTGCGGCTGCGTTATCTTGTTCCGTCTGCTGGTGTTGGTTGCAGTCCCCAGAGGATCTAGAGCAGAACTGAGCAACTTTTTGAGAAGAGAATCTGCAGATTCTAGTTAGGAGTGAAGAAAGCTCAGCATAAGCATGCTGTCAAAACTTGAGTGGCAATTTCAGCACAGTCTCTCAGAGGCAGTCCTGCTAGTCCCCTATTTGGGCATATTTTTTCTGTTTAGTGGGACAGGACCCGTTAGCGTTGTTTGTTTTGAATTCAGAGAGCTTTGGCTTATGGCCACCCTGTCTCAGAAATACACTCTTAAAATGTTACAGTTAATTTTTCAGTTCCCAGGACTCTGTGGACCCTGCTGCATATCCTTCAAAGCCTGTGTGCTGCCCTTGGCACTGGTCTGCAGATTGTTGACCTTAGATTTATACCATCCACTTGCTGTGGGAACTTCCAAGATGTAGCATTATTAGTGTAGCATAAGGAGTTTACAGGACCACCAGACACTAAATAAAAGCACCTCTACCTCCACCCATGCTGTACTGCCTCCTTTCTCAGGAGAGCTGGGAGTTTTCCACCAGAAAGGCTTTTTAAACACATACAGTTTTTCATTCTTTGCTAAGGTCAGAAGGGCTGAGCAGAGGCAGTGGGAGATGAGATTTGCATCTCTTTGCTCCAGCGAGCAGGAAATGTGTACAGGTTTTGTACCAGCATCCAGGTGTGAGTAAGGCCCGCTCTGAGTCAATACGCTGCACCAGGTTAGTGAAAACTGTTTGAGATTTCAGTTAGTTACGTTGGTTTTATCTAGAGGTCTGAACCGTTCTAAGAAATGCTCATTTTGGTCTTGTTTGTTTCTCCCAAACATTGATTATTTATGTTTTGTGAAACAGATAAAAGCTGATCAAGTCCTCGGTGGCAGAAAAAAGCTGTTCAGGGTGTGTGTATATCCTGGGTTTCATCGTGCAGTTTTGCTTTCATTTGTAGGCAAAACAAACTCAAACCTGAAGTGATAACTGAAATGGTTCAGTCCTCCAGCGTCATGGTTTCAAACAAGGCTTTGATCTTATCAGAGTTTAAACTAAGAGATACTATCGTTAAATCTCAGCTTGCGCAAATGGAGGATTCCTACACACACATCCAGACCTTCAGGTAATGGTCATTCCTGGGAAGGACTTCTTTTTGTGGGCTGTCAAAATAACTCAGGTCCATTATTTCATCTAGTACCCCTGCAAATAGGAAATTTTGTAGGAAATCATGATCCATACTTTCCAGAACAGCTTTTTTCCTCGTTTAGGCATTAGCAGAGAAGAATTCAATTCATGTTTCTGTGAAAGCTTGCCTCATGGTTTTTGTTGAGAAAATGGCCTTTTTGAAAGGACTTTTTTCTGTGCTTATTTCAGACTTTATCTGGAAATGCATTGATTCTGTGCACTCCCTGCTTCTGTTCACTGCTTATCCATGAAGTTGTTCCAATAAGCTCATAAGAGCTTGGGTGAAATACATAATTAGGACTAAAACTTTGTGGTGGTTGAAATCCTTTTACACGTCAGTCTATGAACTCATTGTTTCAAACTGCTGCTGCACGAATCCTGCTGTCTGGGTTTCTTTCCATGCTATATGTAAAAACGTGTATCCTTCTGTGAAACATGCTTGTAAAGGTGCTACTGTAATTAAAGCATTTTAGGGACTTAAATTTTGTCACATTTTCCTAATTCCTCCCTGGAAATATGTCACTCCTAAGTAGTTACAAGAAGTATTAGGTACACAGCTTAGTAACAGTGGCACTTCCATCAGCTCTACAATTTGCAGCTCTGGGACTTAGGTCATTTCTTTGCAGATTTTTTGTTGGGACGTACAATGTGAACGGTCAGTCACCCAGAGAGAGCCTCCAGCCTTGGCTGAGCTGTGACACTGAGCCTCCAGACGTTTACTGTGTGGGGTGAGTGTCTCCCCCTGGCCCGTCCTTCCAAACCGACTGTGGGTCGTGCGCTGGTGGGTCTGTAGCGTGGAGGTGTTCTACCAGGGCACCACAGCTGAGGAACACTGGCACTGCCTCCACCCACTGCACAGCTCCCGTGGGTGTGAGTGTCTCCTGGAGGGGCTGCCACTCGGGTAGCGCGCGGACTCTGGCGCTGCAGCGCTACAGAATCCTTAATGCCTTTCAACTAGGGCTAAGAGTGATTTAGCTTTACATTTAACATACCTCCAAAATCCCCATAACTGAATTTGAGTTTTCAGTTGTAAATGTAGTGAGTAGAAACTGGTTTAGTTCCTTCCCAGAGGAGAGGGCTGGAGAGTTATAAACAAGTGCATGCATCCATGGGTTCCTTCCTCTAACACAGTTTCCAGGAGCTTGATCTGAGTAAAGAAGCCTTCTTTTTCAATGACACCCCGAAGGAAGAAGAGTGGTTTAAAGCTGTAACTGATAGTCTGCACCCAGATGCCAAATATGCAAAGGTAAATGTGGCTTTTGGGGAGTTGTGAGTGTGGAATTGTTTTCCACTTGGGCCTCTTTTCCCTTTGCGTGTTCTTGTGCTCAGTCTCTGTGTCTTCCAGAGGCTCGTTGTCTGCAGGCTTTTGCTCAGTCAGAGGAGCTCTGAAGGTGCAGTAGGTAGTGTTGCTGTGCAGGGGGGCAGGCAGGAGACCAGAGCACAAAGGAAGCTCCTGCTACCCTGGGGAGGTGAAGAGGGAAGTGTCCTGGCTTCTCCTGTGTCTGTCTCCACAATGCACAGTGAAATGAGTTGTGAAGGTGTCTCAGTAGGAATACAATATATGCTTTGGCTCCTGCTCCTTAGGTCCTCTATGTCTCGTGTCACTCCTGTTGAAAGAAGTTCCTTCTGTGGGCTGTGCCTGTGCTGTAGGCTTTGCTTTGGGCTCCAGCCTCTTTTGGTGGGGTGTTGCTCCCTGCCTCCGTCCTGTGCTGCTGGAGTGCTTGTGTTCTGTGAGCCCAGCGGGTGGGCAGATGAGCCTGGAACTCTTTCTCATCATGTGTATTTCGGTGACCCATGTTCTGGACTGGGGAGCAATGTGCCTTGTCTAGTCACATCTCTCCCACCACGGTGTTTAATGGAACAGGATCTGTTTTTCAGGTGAAACTCGTGCGGCTTGTGGGAATCATGCTTCTGTTGTATGTGAAAGCAGACCTTGCTTTGAACATTTCTGAGGTGGACGTTGAGACTGTGGGAACTGGAATCATGGGGAGGATGGTAAGAATGGCAACTGTGCATGAGAAGGAGAGAGATTTAGAAGAGTCCTGGAAAGCCCCTCTCCCTAGATGTTGTGGTTATTCCTCCAGCTAGGGGATGCAGCTGCCTTCAAAAGCATAGTCCTGTCCCTGTGCCAGCTCAGGGCATTGCTGGAGGGAATTGCCATGTGCTTGAAAAGGCTCAGGGACCTTGAGGGAGAGAATTTGCTCTGAAGGCTGCTTCTTTTTTTTTTTTTTTTTTTATTGCATGTGCTGGGCTGTGTGGGGCCTTGCTTTCATGTGACTTCAGTGCTGGCTGTGATTTTGCTCAAGACAAGTAAAACAAGGAAACATGAGCAAAGAAACATTTCTGTCTACATCACTTTTCCTGAGGAGGACTTCCTGGCCTCTTGCTGTTCCACACCACTGGAGTGAAGTCTGTGCCCTTCGAACCCTTTGAATGCATTTTCTGTGAACATTGCAGCTATAACTTGTCAAAAATGTTTTTGACCAGCTAAATGATATACTTCCTCCTCCATTTACAATTGTTTTGGTTTTTTTTTTTATTTTTATGGCTTGTGTTAAAAGATCCATTTTGTTGCTAAATAGGCTTCAGAACTTGGTGAGGTAACTGCCTCCCTGATTTTAATTTCCTTTTGTATTGGCTGATTGCCAAATTACTGAGTTCCATGTGTTTGCTTGCTGTGTACAACCCTCACATGGGTTAATGACTTGAATTCATGAAGTAGTTATCACTAATTGGCATCTCCAGCCTTTTCCTTCTGCTGGAATTAAATGGTCTGCATCAAAGTCTTCTGGCTTGTAACTCATTTGTCAATTAATCTGTTGCGTAGAAGCTTTTGACCCAATGTCTTTGTCTTTGTCTTTCAGGGTAACAAAGGTGGTGTTGCCATAAGGTTTAAATTCCATAACACTAGTGTGTGTGTTGTGAACTCTCACCTCGCAGCTCACATGGAGGAATATGAGCGGAGGAACCAGGACTTCAAAGACATCTGCTCTCGGATGCAGTTCAGCCAGTGGGATCCAAATTTGCCTCCTCTCACTATTGGCAAACATGAGTATGCTTCTGACTGTGTGAATGACTGCATGTGGCAAGGAGGAACCTTATGAACACACTGGGGTGCACGAGGTTCTCTCAGCAGGGCGGTGAGAAGGGGCACCCAGTGGTGTAATCACCAGCATGGGAGGGCCAGAAATGCTTTACTGTAACCCTGGTTTTGAGAGAGGTTACCTACACACTTCTGACAAGTCACTTCCCTTCTTCTGCTCTTCCAGGCCTTATTTTATTTTCACGCATGAAGTGGGAATGGGGCAATAATATGCATGGATTTCCCCAGTGGGTTGTGGGATTTAGTCACTGTGGAATATTAAAAGCACCAGTTATCAGGAGGTAATGAGAAACATGCAGAACAGGAATTAAAACCAGCAAAGGTAGAAAATGTGGCATCCCTCTCAGGTTTTCACTGCTACTTGTTGTCTCTGGAGAAGCAGACACAGCATCCACCTGATGGTGTCAAGATTAGAAGAGCTCATGGTTGTATGGGGTGGCTCAGGGAGTGCTGCAGAGCTGTGCTTGCGTTTCGGATACCTTCATCCCGAGGCCTCTGTGCAGACTTCTGGTGCCGTTCTCTTTCAGCGTGGTCTTATGGTTGGGTGACCTCAACTATCGGCTGGAGGAACTGGATGTGGCGAAAGTGAAGCAGCTCATAGATGAGAAAGCATTTCTAAAGCTTTGCCAGTATGACCAGGTACTGGTGTCCCTCCCGCCTGCCTCAGGAGGTGCTGAGTGTGCTGGCTGGATGCTGCACGGTGCTCCTTGGCCGCCTCAGTGCCAAGCACCTCACTTCCACCTCGTGTGGGAACTGTGCTTGAGCTTACTTAAAAACACATCTTTTTTTTGTCCTTTTTTTCTTTTGTAGCTGAAGAGGCAAATGAAGGCACATGCAGTCTTCGAAGGCTTTACAGAGGGAGAGATTTCTTTCCAGCCAACATACAAATACGATGCTGGCTGTGATGACTGGGACACAAGGTACAGTGATTGCCTCCTGTGTGATGCTACCAATGGCTAATGTCACTGAAGGAAGCAAAAGCAAAGCTAAAAAGATCTAATGGCTATAGATTAGTGCTGTTCCATTCTCCTGGCTCCAAAATCCATCTCCAGTTTACATTTACTTGTGTTGCTGTTCTTCCACTGCTATTTGTCAGATATTCTTAACCTTTTTCCCAGGAATAATCCATTTGGTTTCCTCTTAGTTAGAGATGTACAAAATTAAGGAATCACTGTAGTTGTTTTAGTTTTTTGTTTTTGTTGGTTTTTTTTTGTTTGTTTGTTTGTTTTCTCTAAGCAAAATTTTCAGCATCTTTTATTTGCTGATATCTGCTCTACCTACTCAGGTCAGACTGGCTCACTTGTGCTGTGCAGCTGAGGGCATTCTCTGAAAGGGTGCCAGAACCATCATTCCTGTAGTGAATTACAGAGTGTCTGAGCTGCTCTGAGTAAACAGGGAACATTGGCTTCAAGTGCAGAAATGAAAATGTGCAGCAGTCAGTGGGGGAGTGGGGAAAGGAAGTTTATGAGTTCTAATTTTTCATGGTTATTATGGTCAAAAGTATCTCTGAGTATTGCTTTGTATGTTAATTATATTAAAAAAAAAAAAAACAAAAACAAAAACAAACAACAAAACCACCAAAACAAAGAACTGTATCTTTGAAGAACTGGAAAGTAAAGCATGACACAGAGATATCCAATAATAAACAATCAACCTTTCTGTAGCTATTCAAACTGTGGAAAACAAAACTTGGCTAGAGATCTAGCTCCAGGCTGTGTCAGCAAACCAGAGCCTCTGGGAGAGCAGGACTCTGCCTTGCACTGTCACTGCACCCAGCCCAGGCCTGCAAACTGCTTTTCCCCTCGGTGTCAGTGAGAAGTGTCGTGTCCCCGCCTGGTGTGATCGGATCCTCTGGAGGGGGCAGCACGTCGCCCAGCGGAGCTACCGCAGCCACATGGCTCTGAAGATCAGCGATCATAAGCCAGTGAGCTCCGTGTTTGACATTGGGGTAAGTACCTCAGTGCTGAAGGAGATAACTCTTCGGACACTGTGCCCTCTCTGGGGAGAGGGGGAAGGAGGAGGGAGGCTGTCCTGCTGAGTTCCATCTCCTCCTGCTTTTATGGCCTCCACAGAGTACAATGGCATAAAAGGTGAGCTAGATAAGAAACCCAGATAGGATTGTTATTTGTAGTGAGATAGGACTGTGGTAAGTTGAGCTGAATATCTGTAGGTGTTTTATTTAAGAAGTGTTCTTTTGCCTTTTTTCTTACTGTCCTAACAATTTTCACAGAAACTTTGCAGT